TCACTACTTTTAATGGGTTTGCACCCATGTAAACTAATGAAAGAATTGGGCTTTGTATTTTGTCCTGTCTAAAAAGCTCTTAAAATATTTCACAATACATAAATTATACAAGACCATAAACACACACATTAATGTAAATGTTATGGAGAAAATGTTTTTCTTAATTTGTTAAAGTGGGTATCTAAAACATTTATGTCTTTCATTAGCGGTTATTCTTAGAAAATATAAGAGAGGATGATCTTGGTATGTAGGTTTTTAGAACAGGTGCATTGGTGGATTTAGCTCCCAGTTGAGCTGATGGGACTGGCCAGGCAGTAGGGTTTGAGGCTTCTGGATCAAGCCATTACTTAAATTATATTGATATTTGTTTGAATAATACAAAGGGCTTAAAATGTGATATACATGTTATAAAAGCCTGAATAAACATTGGTACAATACTCCATGAAGCTTTTAGCCAGAACCACAAAACTTGGCTAGTTTAAGATGGCTAGCATTTTATAATAATTTTGCCAGTCTTTGCCAATCCTGATAGTATTGATTTAGAGTGTCTTTTAGAGATGTCCTGTTATGGAGGAGTGTTTCTGATCTCTGAGTCACTCATACAGAATAAATGGGCAATATGACAAAATGCTGTTATGTTAGCAGACCATCTTGTCACTGGTATGTTATCATTGTACAAGAAATCCAGATAAGTACTAGGGAGGTTTACTTATTCTTGGTTTTGTTCTGAACCCTTCTTTTTATTATATATTTATATATTTTTATTTTTTGGCAGAGGGAGAAAAAACATTTAAAAATATTTTGAAAGGGAAGCCCATACAGTATTTTGATGCTCCTCCTCTCCCCCGTCCTCCCCAAAAAAAGTAGCCAGGATTCATGGGCCCAATCCAAAGTTCACTTAAATGAATGGAAAGACACCTGTTGATTTCAGTCAAATTTGGATCAGGACCTATATACATTAAACAGTATGTACAGTTTACAGTTCCCAACTTTGGTTGAATGAATTCCTGGAAGGTTCATTACATGACATCATTATTAATTAAAGATTAATCTTTAATTCTTGGAGACTCCAGGATATTCCTGAAGAATTGGCAACCTTAGCGCTGTTAAAGTTGTTCTGTACATACAAGTGTAATAAGAATGCCTAATTTGAAATTGAGCTGTATGCCTGGTTACACAATATGAGCTCTGTCTTACACTACTGGAGCAAAAGGTCACCCTCTAACAAAAAGGATGGGCTAAAATTTTTCCAATTAGAAACTTGAGCAATGATTTTCTAGGCTATAATACATTTTTCTAATACGCTAAAGATTATGCTGCTTGCAACAACCAACAGTATGCATAATTTTTAGAAACAGACTAGAATTGTTATGTTGAAGTGTAACAGAATAAATGTTGAACTTTATTTAGTTAAAAATTATTTATAAAATAAACGTGTGGAAAAAGTCCTCTGCATATTTAACAAGCAGGAGATAATAACACAGATGGGAGGGTTATATGTGCTCTCACACTTTATCAAATTTAAACCGGGATCTTTCAAATGGACCTTTGGTCTGACCCAGTATGGCCATGCTTATGTTTGCATGTTCTTAAATGTTTACAAATTATGTACGTAACTTTATACATCTTGGGTATGTCTAGACTACATGGCTCTGTTGCCAGAGCCATGTAGATTAGTTTACTAGACATATCCAAATGAAGCAGCAATTTAAATAATCGCTGCTTCATTTAAATTAAAATGGCTGCCGCGCTGAGCCAGTCAGCTGTTTGTCGGCTCAGCGCGCTAGTTTGGATGCTCCGCAGTCGACATCAAAGGCATTTGTCGACTGCCCCGTTATGCCTCGTGGAATGAGGTTTACCAGGGCAGTCGACAAATGCCTTTGATGTCGACTGCGGAGCATCCAGACTAGCGCGCTGAGCCGACAAACAGTTGATCGGCTCAGCGCGGCAGCCATTTTAATTTAAATGAAGCGGCAATTATTTAAATCGCCGCTTCATTTGGGTATGTCTAGTAAATTAATCTACATGGATCTGGCAATAGAGCCATGTAGTCTAGACATATCCCTTGGTAGTACAACTAAGTTCAGTATAAAGACGCTCATGGACTTAAAAAAAGGACCCTGGCCTGCTGGCCTTAATCTGTCCTTTAGAATTTGTTAAAAATAGATAGTGAGAATTTTTCTTATGTAAAGAACATTTCTGTACCTAAATATTTTTTTCTGCCTGAACTGTTTTTATAGGAGTAAAAACTATGTTTTTGCCCAACTGCAGACCTATCCTAGTCTAAGGAACAGTTTTTTCACCCTGTTAGGCTCTGTTTTAACAAACCAGATTGAACCATGTTAGAATATATTTGAACCATGATCGTTCTAGCCCACGTGGTGGGTTGTTGTGTGTGGGTTTTTTTTTGTTTGTTTTTGTTTTTTTGCAATACATACAGTGATGACATATTTGCTTTGTCCTTTCCTTACCCTGATTATAGTTCCCGGATCAGTAAGAAAATATGTGGGGCTCTGCCTCATCAGAAAACTTGACATGCTTTCTAAAATTCAATTACTTTAAAAAAATCAAGACATCTCAAAACCAAACTCATAGGCTGTGTCTAGACTGGCCAGTGTTTCCAAAAAATCAGCCACTTTTCTGGAAAAACTTGACAGCTGTCTACACTGGCCGCTTGAATTTCCGCAAAAGCACTGACGATCTCATGCAAAATTGTCAGTGTTCTTGCGGAAAACTTTTGCGCAAAAGGGCCAGTATAGACAGCCCAGATTTGTTTTCCGCAAAAAAGCCCCAATTGCGAAAATGGCGATCAGGGCTTTTTTGCGGAAAAGCGCGTCTAGATTGGCACGGACACTTTTCCGCAAAAAGTGCTTTAGCAGAAAAGCATCCTGCCAATCTAGACACTCTATTCCGAAAATGCTTTTAATGGAAAACTTTTCCGTTAAAAGCATTTGCAGAAAATCATGCCAGTCTAGACGTAGCCATAGACTTTAAGGTCAGAAGGGACCATTATGATCATCTAGTCTGACCCCCTGCACAATGTAGGCCCCAGAATCTCACCCATCCTCTCCTAGAATAATCCTCTCACCTATATCTCAGATATTGAAGTCCTCAAATGGTTTAAGGACCCCAAGATGCAGAGAATCCTACAGCAAGTGATCCGTGCCCTATGCTACAGAGGAAAGCGAAAAACCTCCAGGGCTTCTGCAATCTACCCTGGAGGAAAATTCCTTCCCAACCCCAAATATGGCGATCAGCACTGCATGCAAAGCAAATAAGTCCATCTAGTATTTATCTGGAATCAGACCAAGACCAACCTACTAGTGACAAATTTATGTTTTGATAAATACCAAAGGCATACGGCCCCAAAGCCCTGGAGTCCTCCCCCATTTAACCCATAATTAGAGCTGTGTGACAATTCTTGTTTTGGGGGAGGGGGAGTTGCTTCGGCAGGGGCTTCAGATAATTTTAAATATTGATGTTTGACCCCAATACAAAATTAAGAAGTAAAACAAATTAACCTTGTTGTTTTGGGTTGAATGCAATATTTTTATTTCAAGTTTTCCCTGCTTGCCTTTCATCCTTCCTTCTTCCCTTCTACTTGCCTTTCTTCTCACTTTTGCCCTATTTTTCTTTTTCCTTCCCTCTCCTTACCTTCCTTTTTTAAAAATACTTCCTATTGCTTTTGAAGCATCCCCTTACCTAAGGGGTCAGCAACCTTTTCAAACTACATCAAAATTAAGAACAAGTGGCCAACAAAGAGTCAATATAAGAATGCCAATTTGCATGACTGAAAATATACAACTTAATATTATTGATAATTGACATGATTAATAGTAGCATAAATGAAACATTGTACTCACAGACTTATTTAATGGGACTTCTGCTGCATCTTTTCACATTTCTTTGAAGTTTACTACATAACTGGTCAAATGTAGGTTCATGCAGGTATTCAAGCTACATGAGTAATTATGCATTTTTTAAATTTTGAATTAATTTATTTTAATTTAAAAAGTTGCATGTATTTTGGGAATGACAAAAGAGTCATATTTGGTTCCACACTAAACCATATTCCAGCGCCTTAGAACCTGGAACCTAAGCACTGTGCTTCCCCTGCAACCTTCATGCCTGTAAAGAGTTTCTGCACTTGGTGCACAAAAGGAAAACTGATCAATTCTATAAGCAGAGCCACTATTTGGGTGTGCTCCCCCTCCCTCAACTTATTCAACTCTCCTCTTACAAGCTCCCTGGCTGGAAAGGTTTTGCTCCATTCCACGTGGGAGTGGAGGAACAAAGTGAAACTGACAAGATTCTTGAAGTATTTCGCTTTGCTGCTGCATCATGAGAATGAGCAGTAAAGAGAGCATTCAACAAGATGCCAAAGGCACCCGCCCGCACTCCCTGCCAACCGTAGGTATCCCCAAGAAAGTGGTGCGGATTTAATCTGTAGACCGCCTCACGAGCTCCAGCAATGTCTGTGCTGATGGCTGCGTGGCTGGCTCAGCTTCTCCTCTGGGGAATCGGTAGCATCCAGCCACTAGCATCTTCTCGTGGCGGAAGCTCAACCATTTGGAGAGCAAGAAAAAAAATCCCGAGCAGGAGGAGCACATGTTGTCTGCCTCCTCGCCTGGATGTTTTGCTGAAACATCGGGACATCTGCATAGAAAGGAGGGGGGCTGCCCTGGCTAGGGGCTGAAGTTCTTCTAGTGCTACTGGGCTGTGTATGCGTAGCACACGGGGAAAGGAAGAGGGAGGCAAGTGGTGCTAGAATTGCCGTACTTAGAGCGCACACATCTGGGTTTAGAGATTAAAATATTTTATGTCTGATGGCTTCTGGCATAAACAAAATTCATCAGCCCGGGACTTGCAATGAAGCTAGAGCCGCTCACTGCAGCTCGACAGGGGAATGCAACCAAGAACTCCACCTGAAAATGTGCAAGAAGATTGCCCAGCTCACCAAGGTAAATCTTGCTGTTTAGCGCCTTTCCGGCGATCTGGGTTTAGAGATTAAAATATTTTATGTCTGATGGCTTCTGGCATAAACAAAATTCATCAGCCCGGGACTTGCAATGAAGCTAGAGCCGCTCACTGCAGCTCGACAGGGGAATGCAACCAAGAACTCCACCTGAAAATGTGCAAGAAGATTGCCCAGCTCACCAAGGTAAATCTTGCTGTTTAGCGCCTTTCCGGCGAGGGTGGGGGGGGGGGGGGGGGGGGGGGAGAGGAGTGTACTTGGGAATTTGGTCTGGCGATGACCCCAAGAGGAGAGGAAAGAGTTTTAGCTTATCTCACTATACCTGGGGGGAAATAATCTATGTGCAGAAACTTCATTTCAAATCGCTTTCCCCCAAGGTGCTACAAATCAGCCTCAGGAGATTGCCTCTGCGGCTAACGCGCAAGTCCCCCGCTCACAGCATGCCCTAATTAAAAAAATGAGGAGTAGTAACTCTCTAAAGTTACGTCGGGTAGACGGGCGGATATTATGCAGCTTTTATCTTAAGTCCTCAGGATCAGTTTGTTTGCCTTTCACTGGTTTTGAAGTAACATTGCCTCCAAAGCTAATGACTTTGCCGTGTTGTATTACTGCTTATAGCATATGCTGTCATAGCTTAATGTGTCATATGTGTTTTGTGAAAATTAAAATGGATTCAATTACATTAGCAAAGGATAGGCACTTCTGGTGAGCGTGTAGTAACCTACCTCACTGAACTCTCTCACATCTCTAAGTAGACCTTGTCAATTAATCTACACAAATAAATCAGCGGTTTAGCTTGTCCTCTACACCTGGGGTCAGTGAAAGGAAAAAAATCTTCCAGCTCAGGTTTGTGTGTTCTCCTTCTACATATTATGCAAGATCGACACAACCTATAGAGACATGACTGCACATTGTCCATTAATCTACCTAATAACCTCCACTCCCTTCATTATTAATTAAAAGTACTGTATTAGCTTCAGTTTAAATTGCAACATGTACAAATATGGTATGACTATAAAACAGTAGGAAAGCTTTACAATATATGTGCACTGGGCAGTGATGCTATATTTTGCTACTTGTGACTTCAGTCATCCCTAAATAATGGCAGATACTGAGTGTGTGTTGTATGTATGCTGTCCCCACAGATAAACACAAGTGTTTTGTGTTTGTGCATGTGTAAAATAATGGTTATTTCTATCCTATTATATATACACACATGAATGCACATTTTTGCACATGAATAAACATTTTGATTGTACAGTAAACTTAAACTACTCATCCACATATCTGTAGTATTTCATTACTTGGGAGGCACTCAAACATAACCCATGTAAGTAGTAGGTATAGTCATCATGTAAGGTTAATTTTTTAATCATGTTAATTTTTTATTTACCCCTGACATTGCTGCTCCTTTGCCCAACTACACAAGCACAAAAGGTGGTTACAAGAAGTATTTACATTGGTCCTTATTTTCTACTTACTAGCTCAGTCACTGTCATTGGTGCACTTTACCTCTGGCTGAAGACTCAATCTAGCAACAATCTCTTACACCTACTTTAGTGAACTGTTCCATGGCGCACCCAATAGGATTTGCTGAAGTAGTTGATCAATAAGGATATCATTCAAAGTTAATGTTAAAATTCTTGGTTCTTTTCAATTTGAAAACCAGTAGTAATTGTATCACTTGTTATTTTTATTTTTAAAAGTGCAAACTGACGGTTTACAGCACCTGTAATTCATAGGAACTCTAACAATGTTTCACTCTGAGGGGGCAGCCATATGAGTCAGTATCTGCAAAAACAATGAAGAGCCTTGTGGATAAATATCGGCCTGTGAACCAGATCTGGTCTGCCAGAGTTAGCCCCTGGTGGGCCCCACACCACTGTAATTATCTGTGCTTCTACAGGTACGGGGATTGCAGCACCCTATTGGCTGCAGATCACTATTCCCAGCCAATGAGAGCTGTGATCATGCATACCTGTGGAGGTTCTACTACATATATTGCCAACCCCTGCCTTAGAATAGAGATGTTAACAAATGTGTATTTGTGTAAATGTTGTAACTGCTGGATTATTTTTTTTAGCAATTACATGTTTACATGCAGGGGAGCAGGCAGGAGCCAGTGCTCATGGGAAGCCAGCTCCCCACAAGCCCCTTTCCTGCCTGTCCCCCACCCTCACCCCCACCCACTGCCTCTGATACAGAGGCAGCAGCATAGGGGCAGGTGGGTCCACGGGAGCTGGTACACACAGGGAGCCCGCTTGAAAGCCACCTCCCTGCATATATTGGCTCCTGCCTGTCCCTCCCCTACCCCTCATGCTGCTGCCCCTCTATCAGAGGCAGTAGCGTGGGGGGGGGGGCAGGAGGCTGCTGCCTGCCTTCCCCTCCACCCTCCCTGCCTCCAGCTCTGTGGGAGACAGCAGGAAAAGGGGGAGGCAGCTCTGCAGAAACCAGAACATGAAGGGAGCCGGCTTAAAAGCTGACTTCCCATGAGCACCTACTCCCACTTTCCTCTCCCCTGCCTTGCTGCCTCTGATTTATCTGATACAGAGTAAGGATGTTAAGGACCAGTCAACTATCCAATAAGCAAATGCTTAGTCAACTAGTCGATTCCCCCCCCCCCCCTTGCTGCCTCTATCAGGTAGCAGGGGGTATTTCAAAGTGGCAGCGCCACATGGAGCCACTACCAAGATCCCGGGATCAGCTGTGTGACACTGCCCCTTTGAAACTTTCTCAGCATTTCAAAGCAGCTCCACGAGGAGCTGACCCTGGGCTCCATGTGGCGCTGCCCCTTTGAAACGCTGAGGCTTTGTGCAGCACTGCCCCTTTGAAATAAAGGGGCAGTGGTGGCTTGGATTGCCCGGAGTACCCACACTGGGCACATCACAGCACTCAGCCATCAGACCGGCTGCACTTGCTGCAGGCTGCCATCTGGGGAGAGGGGGCAATTGGGGGGCTGCAGGAGAGGTTCCACCCCCAGAAGCCCGCAGAGCCAGCCCAGTCCTCCCCATCGGGGGCTTGTACCCCATTCCTCCCTCACCTCCTTCC